TCTATAGTCATGTCTAGGGCAGCATAAAATTAAAATACACCACTGTGTGAGTGTATGTGTGTGTGCACGCGTGTGTATGTATATATATATATATATATATATATATATATATACATACACACACATACATACATGCATACATACATACATACACATATATATATATATATATATATATATATATATATATATATATATACATATATATACATACAAGTGTTTTGGGTTTTTTTTGGGAGAGTTCCCACACTTTTTTCCCCAGGACTTGACCCCTGTTTATATAGTTGTGGTGTATGAGGAACTTGCTAAAACAAACATATTAAAAAAAAGAAAAGATTGAACTTCACCTATTCCCAAGACACAAAACAAAATTTTGTGATTAAACAAGTTATAACTTGTCATTCAAGAAGAGTAGATAAGTGTCATATTTAGTTTTATCTTTGAAAATGACAATCTTTTTTTTAAATATAGTATATTTTTTTCCTTTATTAAATATTTGAGATACTAGCAAAAATTTGTAGTAAAATTCCTTTTTGTGCTTCTTCTTCTTTATTAAATATTTGTGCTTCTTCTTCTTTATTAAATATTTGTGCTTCTTCTCCTTTATTAAATATTTGAGATATTAGCAAAAATTTGTAGTAAAATTCCTTTTTGTGCTTCTTCGCATAATCCATTTTACTAGGGTATGCATGTGCAATTAAGTAAATCAAATACATAATACAGTATCTGACAAAAGTGAGTACACCCCTAACATTTTTGTAAATATTTTATTATATCTTTTCAAGCGTCAACACTGAAGAAATGACACTCTGCTACAATGTAAAGTAGTCAGTGTACAGCCCGTATAACAGTGTAAATTTGCTGTCCCCTCAAAATAACTCCGCACACAGTCATTAATGTCTAAACTAGTGGTAGTCAACCTTTTTCTACCTACCGTCCACTAATGCATCGTTCTTGATGGAAAAATTTCCTTATCGCCCACCAGTTTTCGCGCAAGTGCAGAATATTTTTTAGAAAGGAGGGTGTTTTTTTAAAAAAAAAAAAATGTACGTTCACTTATCTTTTTATTTCTACTTTATGCATGTTTATAATGTTTTTAACTTTATAAAGTTTAATGAGAAAACAATAAAGTAAATTGAAATTACCTTTACTAGTGATTAATGAGATCCCTGAGGTTGATGCTGCGAGACGAAATATTTGATATCTGGTTCGATTTACGTAAGGAACAAACGAAGGTCTCCTCTTTCGGTGATATTCAGACGATTTCTCTGTTTGCTCATAATAAGATTTCTCATCTGTGCATCAGCTCCCCTCCTCTCTCTCCTCAACTCCCCTCCCCACCATTTTTTTTCTTCCTTTTTTCTATTTTTAAACCTTCCTTATAGCAATGCCCAGTAGGAAGGCTGAGCTAGGCAGCCCACTTACTATTATTAGCCAACAACAACTCTCTCCTTTTCCTTTTTATTTTCATTCTTTCTCCTTTTTTTACAAGTACTCTACTCCTTCTTTCTCCTATTCTACAAGTACTCTGCACCTTCTTTCTCCTTTTTACAAATACTCTGCTCCTTCTTTCTTCTATTCTACAAGAACTCTGCTCACAGACAAACACACACATACACTTACAGACAAACACACACACACTCACAGACAAACACTCACATACACTTACAGACACACACACACTCACAGAGAAACATACACACTCACACATACACTTACAGACACACACACACACACACACTTACAGACACACATACACTTGCAGACACACATACACACACTTACAGACATACACATACAGACACACACATACAGACACACACACACATACACACACACACAAATTATTAATATTAACTGTCCACTCAGCCTCCCTACTTGGAGAGCTGGGGTCCAGTGGGGCTTCACTTCAGCCGGCGGCAGAGTTTAAATCCGAAGGGGCGAGGGAGCTCTAACCTCTCTGCTCTGCTCCCTCGCTGGCTGTCTACTGATGCCGGGAGCTGGAATATGACGTCATATTCCGGCTCCTGTGGCATCAGAAAACATTGCGCTAGGGAGCAGAGAGGTTAGAGCTCCCTCGCTGCGTCTGATCTTACTACTGCCGCACGCCATGCTGGAGGGGTCCAGAAGGTGGCCTGGCAGGAGGGAGCGCTTCCCTCCTACCAGTCACTGAAATCTTGCGCCCGCATAGCCACTCGCGCCCGCCCACCCAAAAGGAGAAATCCTCAAAAAAAGAGGATTTAGCCGTTGAAATCCCTATCGCCCACCTGGAATACTGAAACGCCCACTAGTGGACGGTAGGGACCAGGTTGACGACCCATGGTCTAAACTGTTGGCAACAATAGTGAGTACACCCCTAAGTGGAAATGTCCAAATTGGGCCCAATTAGCCATTTTCCCTCCCTGGTGTCATGTGACTTGTTAGTATTCCAGTATTGCTGCAGAGATTGAAGGGGCAGTGCTCAGACCATATGCCGCACACTGCATAAAATTGGTCTGTATGGCTGTCATCCCAGAAGGAAGCCTCTTCTAAAGATGATGCACAAGAAAGCCCGCAAACAGTTTGCTGAAGACAAGCAGACTAAGGACATAGATTACTGGAACCATGTCCTGTGGTCCCATGAGACCAATATAAACCTATTTGGTTCAGATGGTGTCAAGCGTGTGAGGCGGCAACCAGGTGAGGAGTACAAAGACAAGTGTGTATTGCCTACAGTCAAGCATGGTGGTGGGAGTGTCATGGTCTGGGCCTGCATGAGTGCTGCTGGCACTGGAGAGCTACAGTTCATGAATGCCAACATTTACTGTGACATACTGAAGCAGAGCATGATCCCCTCCCTTTGAAGACTGGGCCGCAGGGCAGTATTCCAACATGATAACGACCCCAAGCACACCTCCAAGACGACCACTGCCTTGCTAAAGAAGCTGAAGGTAAAGGTGATGGACTGGCCAAGCATGTCTCCAGACCTAAACTCTATTCAGAATCTGTGGGGCAACCTCAAACGGAAGGTGGGGGAGCGCAAGGTCTCTAACATCCACCAGCTCTGTGATGTTGTCATGGAGGAGGGGAAGTGGACTCCAGTGGCAACCTGTGAAGCTCTGGTAAACTCCATGCCCATGAGGGTTAAGGCGGTGCTGGAAAATAATGGTGGCCACACAAAATAACAACACACTTTAGGCCCAATTTGGACATTTCCACTTAGGGTTGTACTCACTTTTGTTGCCAACGGTTTAGACATTAATGGCTGTATGTTGAGTTATTTTGAGGGAACAGCAAATTTACACTGTTATACAGCTTGTACACTTACTACTTTACATTGTAGCAGAGTGTCATTTCTTCAGTTTTGACACATTAAAAGATATAATAAAATAGTTAAAAAAAATGTGAGGGGTGAGATACTGTATATACAAATGAATACCACCTTCTATAGCACATTGGTAACCTTACCATCAAGACAATGCAATATCCCTAATAAAAATATTGAAGAGAATGGGTCCAAGTATAGATCCCTGAGGTACCCCCACTGGGAACAAGACCTTGCCTCGAATATACTCCATTTACTACACCCTTCTGTTGCCTGTCACTCAGCCACTGCCTAACCCATTCAACAATATTTGAATCCAAACTCAAAGATTGCAGTTTATTGATAAGCCTTCTACATGAGACAGTGTTAAGTCTTACTAAAATCCACCTTGATGAGTATTACTACAGAGAGGGCAGTGGTTGCATGGAATAGCCTTCCAGCGAAAATGGTAGAGGTTAACACAGTGAAGCATGCGTGGAATAGGCAAAAGGCTATCCAACTATAAGATAAGGGACTAATGAAAGTATTTAGAAAATGCCTCCAACCAATTGTACAGGCAACTGCCAGTCACTTAAAAGATACAGTTAACATTTTACAGATTTTAAATAAAATAAAGTCGGAACCAAATTATATTTTGTTGACTCTATATGTGAGTTCTTTGTATACTATAATTAATCACCAGAAGGGCTGTGAAGCTACAGAATTCTTCTTAACCAACTTTAAGAAATCTCCTAAATAACAAATAGATTTTCAGAAGGATTTCTATCTCCAGATCTGTGGTACAGCCATTGGGAACCAGATTTGCACCCAGCTATGCCAACCTTTTTATGGCCTATTGGAAAAACTTTTCTATACATCAGAATAATAGCTGGAGTGCAAATCTGGTCACATACCATAGATACATAGACAACATCTTTTTTTAT